CTACAAGGCCACATGGCCTCATGTATTTATGTAACACCATTTGCCAGGCTCCACTTCCATTACCTACAGGCCTAGCTGTGGTCTGTGTATGAATACTAGGATAACAATTCCCACAAAGGTCATGGCTTCTGTAGTTTGGAGGATAGAGCCAAGTGAGTGTGTGGAAGACCCTTTCCTTACACCCACACCTGATGTGACCATTATCACAGATGCATCTCTCATAGTTAGGGGAGCCCACATGGATAAACACATTGCACAAGGCACTTGGTCTCTTAGGATGCCAGGATGCATATCCGCCTACTAGAGAGTGGTACGTCTAGCCTGCAATGCATTCCTTCCACTCATTTGGTCCCACCATATTCAGATAATGTCAGACAACATGACAGCTGTTTTCTACATAAACCAGGTGGAGCAGGATCCCTTCTTCTCTCTGAAGCAACATATATACCTTCTAGGTGTACAGATCTCTGGCAGACCATCTCGGCATATACTTCTCCACAGACCACGAATGGGAGCTATGTTGTTGTGTCGTAAACAAGACCCTCACCTATTCTTGTACCCGTTTGCCTCCCAGACAGACAAAAAGTTTCCTCTGTACTGCTCAAGAGCAGCTCTGGGCCAAGGCTCTAGTGTAACACCCGTCTAGATGAACTACCTCAGGTATGCCTTTCCTCCGATCCCAGTGATATCACAGGTCCTACAAAAGATTCACCATAGTAGAGCTTGGTTCATTCTTATCACGCCCAACTGGCCCAGGCAGTTTTGATTTTCAGATCTTCTATGAATGTCATGCCAGTGAGGGGTCAGATACCTCAACCCAAGCTCTTTTCATCTCACGGCTCCACCTCCATATTTCGATGGGTGTCAGACCTGGAACATTCATGTTCAGAGTTTGTTCAATGTATTCTCAAGCAAAGTAGAAAGGACTCCATCAGAAAATGCTATCTGGGCAAAGGGAGACATTTCTCCACCTGTATACAGCAGAACCATATCCCCTGAATTCACAGGAATTCCTGTTAATCCAGACTATCTACTCACTCTCCAGATATCAGGTCTTTCCATTCTCTCGGTGCAGGTCCTTCTTTCAGCAATCAGTACCTTCCATCCTTCATTTGAAGACTATACTGTTTTCACTCATCCCACTACAACCAGATTTCTGAGGGGCCTCATTAGGACATTGCCACCAGTGGCAAAATGAACAACTTAGTGGGATCTTAATTTTGTTCTTGCAGTACTTACCAGACTGCCTTTTGACCCCCTCACCACCTGCTTAATGTCCTATCTCTCTATGAAAGTTGCCTCCTTAGTCACCATCACATCTGCCAGAAGAGTGAGTGAACTGGAGACGCTTATGGCAGACCCATCATACACCGTATTTCATAAAGAGAAGGTTTCCCTTCATTTCCACCCAAAATTCATCCCTTAGATAATTTCTGAGTTTCATATCAATGAACTTATTCACATACCAGTATTCTTTCCAAAACCTCATGCTTCCAATGAAGAGATACTAGTTTACTCTCTCTGTATCCAATAGGCTTTGGGGTTCAACCTGCATGGAACAAATCAATTCGGAGAACACCTAGACTATTTTGTTTCTTTAGGGATCAACCTAAAGGACAAGCGTTACCTGCTCAGAGACTTTCTAAGTGGCTCTCTAGCTCATCCTTGTATTGTTATCATCTGACTCATATTCCTCTCCCGGAGCGCCCACTCCATTAGAGCAAAACAACTTCTTCTGCAGCTTCTCTTCGAGACCTAGCTAGGACATATGTAGGATGGCTACCTGGAGCTCCATCATTTTTACTTTCACCAAACATTAGACAATAGTCCAGACCTCTTCTGCAGATTCAGCTGTGGGGACAGGAGTATTAGACATCTACACCAACTGCATCCTCACCCCCTCCCCTTGTTTGATGACTGCTTAACAGTTGCCCATGTGTGAAATACACATAGGGACCAGCACTCACAGAAGAAATTGAGGTTACTTATCTGTAACTGGAAGTTTTTCGAGATGTGTGGTCCCTGTGTGTGTTTCACTATCCACTCTCCTTCCTCTCTGTTGCGGATCATGACTGGATTCAGGGTAAGAAGGAACTAGAAAGGCATCTATCTGCACTGCCCCTTATACGTTTGGCTCAGAGGATGAGGAGAACAGTGTATGTGTGGACCAACAAACACTACTTGCTAGAAATATCCGACCTCAGGTGCATGGTGCACATGTGTATCCACATATGGAATACAGATAGGGACTACACATCTTAAAGAACCTCCAGTTCCAGATATGTAATCTCCATTTTTCAAATTAGACCACCAGTTTAGATTAATATGATCAGCTCTAAACAATATGTCTATTATATAATTACTAAAATAGTGTATAGCACTTTAAAATATTAACCAAATATTATATTAAAAAACTTTAAACTACTTTGTTGATATCATTATATGAGAAACTGTTAAATTTCGGTGGGTGGTTCTTCTGTGATCCAATTTGGTCTAGCTAAATTCCTTTGTAGAGCAATGTTGAATAATAAACGAGTGAAAATAATACTTTCCATGCTTTGCTCAAGTGTATAACTAATAATCTGTGGCCAGTAGAAACCAGGATCTGGAACAGAAGTGGAGGCTATTCCAAAAACACAGGGGTGCCTGTAAGGAAAAGTAAATAAGGATTTTTACTATGTGGCTTAGTGTGCAAACACAGCAGCAACACTGACACACAAATGGATAATTCACAGTGAAGGCTGACACTCCCATCATTAATTTGTTCCTTTATGTATGACATACGCATTGTATATGTTCATATCCGTGCATGATCTTGCATACCAAGCACATTGGAACTTAGACATGACAGGATGATTTATGGATGGAATGTCTGCTTTAAATCTGGATATCCCTGGCCAGTTTAGATTTCAGTATTAAATTTAGTACTTCCGTATTAGAAACGGGTTATATTGGACATGCCCATATGTCCCAAAGAAAGCCAAAACACCAACAGTGTGGAAAATCATTCCTGATATCAAATTAGGTGATTGGTTGAACACTGCATAGTAACAATACAATAACTCCTCACTTTAACGTTGTAGTTTTGTGCCCGAAAAATGAGACTTTAAGTGAAACAATGTTAAGTGAATCCAATTTCCCCATAAGAATGAATGTAAATGGGGGGGGGGGGGGGTTAGGTTCCAGGGAAATTTTTTTTTGCCATATAGTACAGTACTATAGTTGGGAGGTGCAACCACCTTACCCCACACAGGGTACAGCCCCCCTGGCACTGGAGACAATGAGGCAGGCAAGGAGGCTGAAGGTGTTGTAAGCTAGGAGAAGCATGTTGTGCAGCAGCAGCTTCCCCTACTCTGCAAGCAGCTGGGGGGGGGGGGCTTAACCCTCGGCCTGCCCAGTCCACCCCTCCCCCCCCCACCCTCCTCTTCTTCTCCCCTTTTACTCTGCACACTGCATCCTTGCTCCTCCCCCCTCCCTCCCCTGCCTCCTGCCTGCAGCAGTCAGCTGGCCTGCAGCGTTCAGGTGGTAGGAGGGAGGGGGGAGGAGCGAGGACTTGGCGCGCAGCCTCCCTCCTCCCTCCCCTGCCTCCTGCCCATGGCAATCAGCTGGTTTGCAGTATTCAAGAGGCAGGGAAGGGTGGGGGAGCCTGCGCGCCAAGTCTTCGCTCCTCTCCCCTCCCTCCTGAACACCACAAGCCAGCTGATTGCCATGGGCAGGAGGCAGAGGGAGGAGGGGGAAGGCTCTGATCTGTGGGGTCTGCTGGCAGGCGGGAGGCGCTGTGTGTGGGTGGGCGTAGGGGAGCTGATAAGGGGGCTTCCAGCTATGGACAAAGCAGGCACCCAAGCGATGTTATAACAAAACATTGCACAACTTTAAATGGAGCATGTTCTGTAATTGAGCAGGGACGTAAGATGGAAACAACATTAAGCGAGAGGATGTTAAGTGGGGAGTTACTGTATTTCCTGTAGAAAAGATTGGTGCATATCTGAGTTTAATATTTTTATGTGCACTTTCAGAGCAATCCTAATGGATGTGATATGGAGAGAAATGTGGTTATTTATCCCACTCCCTAAATAGCCTTCTCTTTCATATTATGAATATTTATTAACATGACAATGAAGTTGCTGGTGGTGAACTTGATATGGCTTCAATTTTTGTGTGAATGATGGCTACGAATGCCATCCCCAGCTTTTGAGCAAGTTACCTTGAAATCAGTGGTTCCCACAGCGTTTTCTGGAACTCTGGTTGTCTGCAGAGCACGTGCTGGTGGTCTGCAGAAAGCCATCTCATCACATAGTTGTGGTTCATTCCTTACTGTTTTCCCCAATAGACTGAAAAGCAGCTAAACATTTTTGTTTTTTTTTTATTTTACTTTTCCAAGTATACAATTGCTGTGGTTGCCACAGTGAGGCTATTTAGTTGTCAGTGGGCAGGAAAGTGGTCCTTAAGACAATCTATTTCAAAATATGGTCCACGTAAAGAAAAAAATTGGGAAGCCCTCATATTACTTAATACTCTGATAGACTGTACTGTCTGGTCAGTCTCTAATGATTTACTGATTAGCTGATTAATAGTCAATGCTTGGGGAATTAACACTATACTAAATTACTTGATTCTGCATGAGATTATAGGCATAATTGTTTTTGTTTTGAAAGATTTTGTAGTCTCATCTAAACATGAGAAGTAATAAAGTAGAAGGGTAAAAGAGATTGTGAACAGATACTTTAAAACACAAGGGGCCAGTTTCTTATACCCTTTTCACCACCATTGTTCCCAGTGGAATCAATGAGACTGTTTCTGGAGAAAGTGCTACTTACTAGAGTAAAGATTTCAGAATCTGGCCTATGGAAAACTGACTGAATAAGGTTTTTTGCTAATAGTTTTGAATTATGCTTTTGCTGTGTGGGTTTTCTAATCTCTGTTTTAGACTTTGTCTACTCTAGCACAGCATTGTTGTGAATACGTGAGACTCTGTCTAACTCTGTTTTGTTTTGTCTCAGTCACATTGATCAAACAACAACATGGCAAGACCCTAGGAAGGCGATACTTTCACAGATGAATGTTACAGCCCCCACCAGTCCTCCAGTGCAACAGAACATAATGAATTCAGCATCAGGTAAGCAAACATATATAAATATTTTTCTATTTATATTTCCAAGAAAGGCATTACAAATGCATGAACAACTTTTTGACAAAATTTCAACTTCTGCAATAACAAAGTACAATTCCTCTCAATGTCCCTGCCCTTACTAGTTTCTTTCCACTAATTTAGAAACATTATATTTCTTTCCTTTTTAAAATGTAAATGCATAAATCTTGATGCCTTAAGCAACTGGATGACGTGAGCTGAAGGGATGACATGAATTTGTAACATCAGCATAAGTGTAATTTAATTTTTGTTGTGCTTTCTAATGGAGGACACTAACTTTTTAAGAGATGAGGTGGTAAACTAAATCTTCCTCCTAAATATTAAATACGTTGTTTATTTTCTTTTCTCCCCTTCAGAGGTGTGCTTGCACATATCCTCCTGCCTTTTTGAATTTTGTTCTTCCCACCTGGCTGTTTCTCTCACATCTGTTTTTGAAGATCTCCCCACAAAAAGAAAAGTCCTTTTGGCAGAGGAAATGCAATGTTTTCCTTCCTCCTCCTCCACTCCTAAGTTCCCATATCATGGTGACCATTCCTTTAGCTGATGGAGTACCATATTTGGCTTCTCCTGGAGCCTGTCAACACAGCTTTTTCAGCTAGCTTGTGGGGCATCACTCGAGAGTAATGCAAGGTGCACACTCCCATAGGCTAAAATTCACTATTTTCCACGTGCTCCCTGGCCCTGCTACTCTAGCGAGCAAGCAAATCATCTTGGTCCCATTGCTAATTTGTGATAGCTGTTGTGGCTTTCCTCATGTTTTGTCTGCTCCTTCCTCTCCAAGTCTAATTTTTATTTTGTCTGCCTCTTCATCACCATTACATCCTCAAGATCATTCTTGTGCCTCTTTGGTCCTCTGCATATAGATTCATATATTCCAATGCTAGAAGAGACCATTTTGATCATCTAGTTCTGACTTCCTAAATAACGCTGTCCATTGAACTTTCCCAAAATAATTCCTAGAGTATATCTCTTAGAAAAATACCCAATCTTGATTTAAAAATTGTCAGAGATGGAGAATTCACCACAACCCTTGGTAAATTGTTTCAGTGGTTATTTACGCTCACTGTTAAAAATGTGTGCCTTATTTCCAGTCTGAATTTATCTAGCTTCAACTTCTAACCATTGGATTATGTTTTACCTTTCTCCGCTAGATTGAAGAACCCATTATTAAATATATAGTCACCATGTAGATACTTACAGACTGTAATCAAATCACCCCTTAACCTTCTTTTTGTTACTCTAAATAGGTTGAGCTCCTTGAGTCTATCACAGTAAGGCATGTTTTCCAATCTTTTAATCATTCTCATGGCTATTCTCTGAACCTTCTCCAATTTATCTGCATCCTCCTTGAACTATGGGTACCAGAAAAGCATACACTATTCCAGCAGCAGTCTAACCAGTGCCAAAGAGAGATAAAATATCCCCTCTGCTGCTCGAGATTCCCCTTTTAGACGAGCCTGCATCTGATTCCCTGCTTAGACAAGTTTGTATCTGTTTTATGCTGCTGCTTACACACTACAGACAGCAGCAAAAGATTAACAGGCAAAAAATGAGATTGAACAGTTTGTGGCTGTGACTTTTGAAGGGGAGGCAAGTCAAGCCATTGTCTTGACTTACTGCTGGCGAGGCAATGGGATGGGATAGCACTCTGAGTTCAGTCGGAGTTCCCCCATCCCCGAAACAAATGAAGAGATCTTAGATGGATTTAAGGAGGTCATGGCTGAGTGCAGTTAAAAATCCCAAGATTTCTCTTATCTGAAAAGATAATCTAACTCAGCCATGACTTTTCCGTTAATGTATGGAATGTATGATGGGAAAGTTACAGACATGATTCCCCTGCAGGATTCTTTATCTGGAGACTTCAGAGGAATAGGGAACGGGAGAAATGAGGCATTCCCACTATCACAACCCTGATTTATTTATCTCTCTGCTTATACCAGAGAACTAAATTTTCACTGCCGAACTGTGCTGTTCTGTATTTTAAGCTGTCTTTAAAGACTTTCATCTCACCTTATTGCAGAGATTGAGAGGAAGAAAGTGATGTCGATATTTGTGAAGTGGCACACAATGCAAACTTAGTTTATTCTAAAATTGACATTTCTCTTTGGTGTCTCATACTTCTGGGAAAATAACCTTGTTTAATGCAAGTGCATGAATGTTCATGACTTAGTCTGTTTTTTTTTTTTAAATAGGGCTTTCCGCATTGTAGATCAGTCTAGTAAATTCTCCTCCCAAAATCTGATTTTGATCAGCTCTGTAAAGAAACTGTGTAAAAATTAACACAGGGTTCTTGTGTATTACCAAAAAAGATTATCGTATTTTTGTCTGGTTTGACTATTGAACTTAGAAAATGAGATGCCAAGTAAACACTTCAGCTGACATTTTTTTTAACCCTTTTAATTCGCTTGGAGAGTTGATAGTTCCAAAATTTTCTTGTATTTAACAAAAGTACGTTGTGAGAGAATTGAATTCTAGGACTGCATTCATTGTAAATTGATGCTACTATTGACAACCCAATTTGATTTAATGTACCTAATGTATTAAAATTGATTTTTTTAAACTATACTTTCATATTTTGCCACATATACATTGTTCTTTTACTTTATTGCTGAGTTTGGTAATTAATGCATTCTTAAATGTGTGACTAAAGAGAGTGGGAAATGAAAGGATGAAATGGGCAACTGCTAAGTATCTTCCCTTTGTGGGAGCAAGGATTGTTTTTCTGTGTTAGTACAGCACACAGGACAATGGGACCTCAAGCTTTTTGGTTGCTACCATAATGTAAATATTTACTATTACTAGTAGTAATGATCTGAATAGTTTTCTTAAGTTTCCTAATTTGAATAGTTATCCTCAGGAATTGGTTTGTAAGGGTGGAAAGTAAAGTTTTTTGATGCCTTGATGCCAAAAGTTGGGATTTGCTGGCATGAATATTGTTACTGGCAGTGAAATGTGATCTAATGCTTCTTGTTCCAGAGATCTCAATACTCTTTTGAAAAAAAAAAAAAAAATGGTTAGGCAGATGGCTGCACTCTTCCTGGTTTGAGCTTGTTCCAAGTAACCTGCCTAAATTTCTTGAACCATACTGGTGGGAAGGGATGTTGCAGTATTAAAGACAAAATAATCTATGTAATCTTCCTGTGTCAAATTGGATTAAATGAAGTAATAGAAAATTCTCCATCTCATCAACAATGGGAAGAAATAACTTGTTTTTGTATGTGGTCTATTTACTAGTAGAAATTGGTCTTTATAGTTGTTTCTGGACTCCTCTGCTGTGCCACTGAAAGACATACCGATTGAGAGTTCTACAGCAGATGTTTACAACCTTTTTCTTTCTGAAGCCCCCTGCCCCGCCAACACTCTATAAAAACTCCATGGCCCACCTGTGCTATAACAACTGGTTTTCTGCATATAAAAGCCAGGGCCAGCGTTAAGGGATAGCAAGCCAGGCAATTGCCTGGGACCCCATGCCACAGGGACCCCTGCAAAGGTACATTGCTCAGGCTTCAGCTTCAGCCACAGGTGGCGGGGCTCAGAGCCCTGGGCTTCAGCCCCATGCAGTGAGGCTTCGGCTTTCTACCCTGGGCCCCAGCAAGTCTAATGCAGGCCCTACTTGATGGCCCCCCTGAAACCCGCTCATGGCCCCCCAGGGGGCTCCAGAGCCCTGGGTTGGGAACCACTGTTCTATAGAAAAAGCTGCATAGCTTTGGTAAGTCTCTTATTAAAGTGATATAAGGTGCTCAGGTACCTTAGTGAGAGACAGATATACATTTCAAAATAAAAATAACCGTGTCAGTTTTCTATGCTATCATAGTTGATAGAACTGGTGTGGAAGATTTTGCACAAAGGAAGTGTACAAGTAACATAATTGTGTCCTTTGAATCATTAATTTTACCCATCAGGCCACTCCATTTGCCCTCTTCAGCCAAACATGTAGAGACATTACAAATGTAATTTGGCAATAGATTTTTTTATTTTAATGCTGTCCATCAATTCCATCAGTGTTCTCGTTTCCTTCCTTTTGCCTTCTATACCCCCCCTCCCCCCCAGAATTAATTTTCTTTAGTGGTATTTGGTAGAAATCCTCAGAACTTAAAGCTACATTTTAAGTGACTGTTAAATTAGGTTAGAATTTAGCAAGAAAATGGCCATGTGAGAGAGGCGGACAGAAGCAAATATGTAGTTTATAGCTCCTTGTGGGTAATATAGCAGCAAATGAACCAGGGCCCTGTGGAGGGTGTAAATTTCAACTACCTTTATCTTGAGGATTCCTGCTCATTTTTAGCTTCAAATTTACCTTTTCTCCATACAGTTCATGATATTGTGTACACTGTAAAAACTGGATATTATATGTGCTTATCAGAAAAATTATGAAAAAAGTGTGTAAGAGCTCATCATACGTTGGGCTACATTTATTTAGAGGGGTGCTGCTCATTTTGGGAACTTGTCATGAAATTGAGCCATGGAAGGTTTACGACTCTGGTGAGAGTCTCATGCTAGAAGATTGAGATTTGAAAAGTAGTGGGGGTGAGGGAAGAAAAGTTCCCTGCAATATGTTTTGTTTTTTCTCATGTAACAATAAAGGTGAAGGATGTACAAAATTATTCCATGTGCATCTTTTTAGACTCTGTTCCCATGTAGTGTTGGACATCTTGGTGGATTTGGACCATTTGATATTACGAAGCACCTAAAAGTTTTTGGTTGATAGGATCACAGAGTTGGCTGGCTGACGGTTATAGATAGTTAGTTATAAAGAGAAGCTATTCCACTGTCTCCTTGTGAATTGCTCAGAAATTTTTATTTAAAAATAAACCTTCAAGGTGTTTTATAATAGCACTATCTGGATTAGCTGACTTCTACTACTAGAGTTTAGCTGTTGCTTTAGTTTGACAAATTGTGGATTTATGGACTGTTTGGTCTTAATTACTTACTTGTTATCAAGTTGGCAGATGTAAGTATTTATGTACATACTTCCACTTGCTGTATGTATCACCCTTAGAAGAAATGTCTTGTTCCCTTCCTGCCCTATCTCCATCTCTATTTAAAAATTAGACATTGTAAGATTTGCTCACTATACATTAATAAAACTTGTTTGATCTACCTTCTGTCCTCTTTTTCCACCCCTTCTGGCAACTACATGTTCTGTTTCAGAGGAACAGCCGTGTTAGTCTGTATTCGCAAAAAGAAAAGGAGTACTTGTGGCACCTTAGAGACTAACCAATTTATTTGAGGTGAGCTGTAGCTCACGAAAGCTCATGCTCAAATAAATTGGTTAGTCTCTAAGGTGCCACAAGTACTCCTTTTCTTTTTACATGTTCTGTGTTTCCTTAATTTATACCCTCAGTTATTCAGGGCGGGGCCAGAATCTCAATACTCTCTATAGAGGATAACTTGTGTTTGGAATTGGAATCTAGTTTTTTGAAAATTTTGTCCAGATAGTGTCAAAATTAATAAAGATGAATAGAACAGGAAGAAGGCTCACTTCCGTTGCAACAGGATGTTGTTTGCATTGGGAAGGTGTTTGTGATCAAACATTCTATATTGGATAAAGCAGTCATTGAAATTGCCAATATCTACATCGGAAAAGAAATATGTATTCTGTACACTACACATATATGAGTGAGAATTTCAGAAGCACTCTGCTCCCATTGAAGTCAGTGGAACTTCTATAATTATATAAGAAATATACTTGACACCTTCAGGTCTTCTGTCTGTCATCTTCCTCCCCTCCTTCTTCTTCCCTTCCCTCCCTCTCCCCCCCCTCCCCGAGAGAGAGTGTCTGCTGCTCTACCTCTTCTCCACCCTTTGAGTTTTCCACCTGGTGAGTGGCTCAATATTTGCTTTGCTATTGCTCAGTCAGCTACACAATGAAAGTGACATGATTCTGTTTAGTTTCACAGTTGTTCAGAAAACTAAACAGCAATGAACGCAGACAGGACTCTGGTTAGTTTTCGCTCTGCAGTGTGGCGAAGCTATGAGCAACAGCAGAGGCATGGGAGCTCTTTTACAGACTCGAGAAGAAAACACTGTAGCAGGTAGCAGCGGTTTTGTTTTCTGCAGAAGTTGATGGCACTTCCCAAGGAAGGTTTCCTACTCTACAGCTAAGTGAGCAAGCTCTTTTTTTTTTTTTCTTCCAAGCCCTGTTCACGGATATCCTGTTAATCTAGAAATGAAATTCTGCTCATGGCTCCCTTGGTCTGGGACTAGTGGGCTGATTTTCACTCTCAGGTCCACACAGGCAGATGGACTGCCATCTGTTGGAGTTTTGCTTCCAGGGTATCTTACTTTTAGGAACTACCTGCCCCCAAACCCTTAAGTGCAGCAGAACGTTTGCTTTACGTCCATTAGGACATGGAGTTTTCTCTAATCTTCATCATAGTCATCTGAATTTGAATGGTTTTGCCTGTCTAGCTGTCATCTCCTGGCTCTGGGACTAGGGGATAGGTGAGATCGTCCTTTTCTGGAGTCTGGTGTCATTGGGATGCATGGATTAAGAGGTGACTGGTGTGGAGAAAGTAAATAAGGAAGTGTTATTTACGCTTCACAACACAAGAACTATGGGTCACCAAATGAAATTAATAGGCAGCAGGTTTAAAACAAACAAAAGTAAGTATTTCTTCACACAGCACACAGTCAACCTGTGGAACTCTTTGCTAGAGGATGTTGTGAAGGCTGAGACTATAACAGGGTTAAAAAAAGAACTAGATAAGTTCATGGAGGATAGGTCCATCAATGGCTATTAGCCAGGGTGTGCAGGGATGGTGTCTGTAGCCTGTTTGCCAGAAGCTGGGAATGAGCGACAGGGGATGGATCACTTGATGATTACCTGTTCTGTTCATTCCTTCTGAAGCACCTGGCATTGGCCACTGTCGAAAGACAGGATACTGGGCTAAATGTGGACCTTTGGTCTGACCCAGTATGTCCATTCTTAAGGTCTTATGTTCTTATGGTCTTAGATGTGGGGAGAGCAAGGTTAGTTCAGTGGTGATGGTGTTAGTCTGGGACTTGAGACCTGTTTCCAGTTCTCTACACTGGTACAGACTTCTTATGTGATCTGACCCTAGCAGACAGGTTAATTCCTTGGGCTTCAGAATTCTGGTGCACAAATCCCATTAACAGTAGACATGGGTATTTTCACATCTGTAAACAGTTTTTGGAAGTGGTGCATCTCCACCAGTAGCTCATGAGGAAGACTGAGTAGCTTTCTGTTATATATAATTATATAGTTACTTGGTTTACACATTTTGTGTGTATAGCTAGTTGCTGAGGTCAGTGTGATTGGGGGAGGTTTCTTTGAAAGGAGGCAGTCTTGGAGCCATATCTCCAGTAGTGGAACAGTCCACCTTCCTGTCCAGAGAAGTAGAGCCCTGGTAATCTGCAGATATCCTCTTCACATCTGTGCACCATGTTTGTGGATCGTAGATGGATGCAGATCCAAATTTTATATCTAAATCCTGAAAATCTGCAGGTATCCTTGCAGGATTCTACAGAGAAGGAGGTGCAGAGCAGCCAGTTGGCACCAGAATGCAGGAATTTAAAGCAGAAACATAGTTTAAATGGAAGCTGCCTGGGTCAGGGACAATTCCTATGTATTTTAACAGCACCTAGCACAATGTAGGCCTGATCCTGATTGAGGCCTCTGTGTGCAAATAAATATTAATTTATTCTTTAAAAATTCTCAAGAACAGTTCTTTTAAGATTAAGCAAAAATCTATTTTCCCACAACTGTAACTTTCAGCAGTAACAGGAGTCTAAAACAAAATGATAGGGAAGGGTTATTCCAATGTTAAACTGATAAAATAAATACTAGTTTTTTGTGTGATTTCACCTACCTGCCTTGTAAGTTTAGAGTGATTTGTGTGTACATACCAGTCGGTTCTGTACTATATAAGACTTCTAAAAACTTAGCCAAACACTGACCAGCCAACCTTTGTAGATTGTTCTTATTGGCATTTTGTTGCATGTTAGATTGAAGAGGAGGGGAAGAAGAGCCTGATGGCTGTTGAAGGAAGTTCTGTTTAATTTTATCTATCTTCTTGATATTTGTGGCGGAGGCACCAAGAACCTTGTATAGGCGCCCCTTTTTATTGCTTAAATCCAAAGCAATAAGGATGGTGTTTTTCAAATATCTAAATCACTGATACAAAAAGTCCCACCCTTAGTTAAATAAATTTGTGTCCCAACACGTGGCAGGTAATTTACAAAGGCAGAGGACGACACAGTCCCACCTCAAAGAGCTTACAGTCTGTCTAAAGAAAATACAGATGAATGATTGGGTGGGAGGACAACGACAACGACATGATAAACTATAAGTGAGAATAAGTAGCATTCAGGAGCAGTGTTCTAGTGGCAACTCCCCACCCCATATCTTGCAGGTCATTTGGTAGATGAGGGGCCAGAGAAGACCTTCATGTTTCCTCATTCAGGCATAGCCCCTGGATTCGGCTATAGGGGAGATTTTGAGATAACACGTACAGGCCTACCTGCTGGGAGTGGGGCATAGCATAACCCTTCCTTCTCCTTCAGCCTCTGTGCATTTGTGGTATTTCTTATTTATTTGCTCTTCCTCCACTTTCTCATCACTTTTTGTCTCCCTCGCTCCCTGCAGTATCATGCCTTGTATCTGCTACGGCCCATAGCACTTTCACAGTGTTGGGGGATGATTCCAGTAAATTTTGCTCTCCTGCTTATGTTGGAGGAGCAGCAAAATAAAACTTCAGAAGAATCATGTCAGTTTCATGCTGCTGCTGAATCTTACTTACCAGATGAACTTTCACCCTTAGAGGGAGAGAATTACTTCCTACCCTGCTACAATTTCAGGTGCTCATACTGGTTTCATTCTGGCAGGCTCGACTTATTGCTGGTTTTGTATCCTAAAATTCCTTTACCCTGAATGGACCCTAGCAAAGGATTAAGCGCCAAAACCTATTAAAAGACACAAAAGTTATAAAATCAAACTCCAGATTTTTAATAAAATGGCAGAAATGCTTTATGATATCATTTGTATGATTTCTTCATCCCCCCTTCTCTGCCCTCCTCCCAGGACTGTTAGACATGAGCTTGAAACTATTTGTTTCATGTACTGTTTTACATGTAAAATGTTGGGATTTTTTTTTTTATTTAGAGCTATTTTTGAGCTGGAGCAAACAAGAGCCTACTATGAATTCCTTCCTTCTATATTGCAGGCCCACTCCCTGATGGATGGGAACAAGCCATGACCCAGGATGGAGAAATTTACTACATAAACCATAAGAACAAGACCACATCTTGGCTAGACCCAAGGCTTGACCCACGCTTTGGTAAAAGTTCATCTCACTTAAGAATTTTTTTTATTCACTTTAGTTTCAGTTCACTTTAGAAATTTTCATTTCGCAGGCAAACTTTGGAATATTTTTAGCAGTAAGATAAAATACTTTGATTTGAATCACATACACCCTAATTATATCCTTTAAAAAATAAGTATAAATTCATATTCTCTCTGTCATCTAAATCTTTGATGCCAGAGGTCAGGACTTCACCAGTTGCCTCATAGGGCTCCCAACTTTTGTGGCATCCAGGAATTACTTTACCAGAATAAAACATTTGATCCAGGCTCTCTGTTCTCCCACAATTGCAAATCTTTACCAGCTAAAATGATGCTTCCAAAAGAAATATTTACCTTCCTTTATGATATCCTAACGAGCTCATTAATAATAATCCTCATGCTGTCAAAATCCGTTTGAATCACACACCAGCTTATAATTCCAGCTTGCTACAGTGATGATCATGTTAAAGGTGTCCGTTTTTAAACAGTATTGAGAAATATGTGATAGTGTTGCTTGTATCAAAATCTGTTATTTGAGGCGTGGAAAATACTCATCGGTTATTATTTTCTGACAATAAAATTATTAAAATCTTTTTAAATTAGAGGAACTAATCTTTCACTTTTTTTTGGTAATGTTAATTTTCAGGCATACAATAAGAAAATGTTACAAACTTTTCAACCTTTTTAGCCTAAGTATCACTTTCCAAAGTCTACCACATACCTCCATCTGAGACAGTTATAATATACCTATGAAAATGGGGGGTGGCGTGGGGCGGGGAGAAGAGAGGGCGGGAAGGAGGCCTCTAAGGGATAACACGATGAGTTGTCTGCCCTTACAGGATTTTTCTCATGTACCCCCTGATGAGAGCTCATGTACCTCAGTTTGAACACCACTGCAATAATGGAATATAGCTACAGAGTACAGTGGATTGTGGAAATCACAGATCTAGTCTAGCTGCATCATACAAATGGTCATTGAGCTGTACAGAATTGTAATAATTTTCTCAAGTCATGTTTTAGCATTAAGGTACTTCGGGTATTTTGTTTTGTTTTTGTTTCCGGTACAAAGTCATGATATTTTACAAAAAGTCTACAAATTTTAATAGGTACAATAGCTTTTCCTTGATTTGTTATCCAGATAATTCACTATTTTCAGCTCCTTTGGGTGGATTTGTGAGGTATTTTTTTCAGAGCTATGGAAAAACCTGTATAAAAACTCTGAAACCTGTCATAAAAAAGAGAGCAGATCATTGTGGTTTTCAAGCTTTAGTCTTGGACTCAGTGCAACTAAATGAAAACAGTGTGCAGATCACTGGGTAGGTCAGGCTGAGGGGATACAAAGCCTTTGAAGCTTTACAGGGGTTGACCTAACAACAATTGTGGGCCCCTTTTGGGAGAGTCATTAACTCCATGAATGCCATATAAACACTATAGTGGAAAACTCAAACTCAGCACTTCACTTTTATTTTAAAATGGCTGCTAGAAATTTCAGTTTGTTTTTTTTCAACTGTGTAGTCCTAAATGTTTAAATATAAACATCCGTCTGTTCTTATGAAAACCACAGAATTATTACAATTTGTTTATAAGCTGCTGACTAGCTTGTAAACAGGTTGAACCACTGTGCAACCTGAGTCAAAGGTGGGGCATATATGGGAGATTGTCATCTTTGGCAGATCTATCCATATTGCCCTTAATGCTAGCCTTCTGAGTTGCAGTCCTATTAGTGTGTTATGAAAGCAGTATTAGTCATTTGAACTTCAGAATCTACTTAATATATGAATAGTAATCTGTGTTTGAAACAGGAAGTAGTTATTTAGAAAAAGCGTTGCCTTTTACAATATAAAGAGGGATGCCAATTATGTTTACTTAAGTAATCACGCAGGAAATGTATTTTGCTCTTCTTCCATGTATTGTTTTACAGTTTTGAATTATAAGAGCTTGGGTCAGCCAGCTAGAATTAAAAGAGAAAAAATGTTTTTAGGTAAGATGCATCTAATTTCTAAGAACTAATTTCAACTCCCGTAAATAGTACTGTCTCAATAGTAGGGTGGAACTACTTGTCTTGAGCATACTGAAGATCCATAAAATGTTATGGCTCTGGCAGTTAAACTGAAAAAGGACAGAAATGTCCAAAAGATTGCATAAGGGTTTCTTACTGCATAGTTTCCCTTTTTGGGCCCACTGTGTATGTGTATCCCAGACAGGATTGAGTATGTGCCAAGGCTTTTTATTTTGTGGTTGGACTTTTAATCTGTTCCAGACCTTTTCAGTCAAAGAGCTCAAGTGTAACTGAAGGGGGCAGGAAAGGGGGGTGGGGGGAGAGAAAAAACCATGTGAGCTCCTCTGATCTAGAGTGACGGCAAATAGAGACAGGCTGCTAGCTGCTGTTGAGCTTGAAGGAGTTTTCCTTGAAATGTGTACAACTTCACATTCTATTGCGGTTTACGTTTTTATCATCTGTGCCAAGAAAGTACAAAATCTTATTCTTGTTCCCTTTTCCAATATGACCTCCTCCAGGCCACTCCGGCAGTGTACGTACTATAGTTTTGTTAGAGAGACCAGGTAGGTGAGGTAATATCTTTTATTGGACCAACTTCAGTTGGTGAGAGAGACAAGCTTTTGAGCTTACACAGAGCTCTTCTTCAGCTCATAGTTTTGTTGACAGAGGTAACTTATTGTGCCTGATGTTTATTTTACTTTGTCATGTGCAGATCTTTAGTAAATGTGTGCTGATTTGATTAATCAAGTTTGATTGATTCAAAAGCTTACCTTTCAGTGATCAGTAGGAGTTGAAAATCGTGTTTATTTCTGAAGACTGCCATGGCCTTTTGTAGCCTAATTCTTTCCACTGAGGGCTTGGTTTCCATTCATTGTTGAATATTAACACTTGAAACAAGCTACTCTAGATAGATTCATCTTCAGATCCCTAAACATAAGGGGAAATTTCACTGTAATGACAATTTTCTATTGGCGTCACCTTTTTCTTTTTTTAAAAGTAATAACAGTAAAGATACATTCAGTTCACTTTCTTGATGTTGCCTCTGCAGATCCCTCACCATATGAGCTGCGGAACACAATAGATAGTATGTGGTCTGCCCCTCAGTTTCAGTGTTGTGGGACAGATGGCATGAAAGACACTAGCTGTTGCTGAGTTTCTCTCTTCTACCAGCCAGTGTGCTCAGGAAGTCGATATCCATTTCCCTATTTTGCTTTGTCCTCATCAGTTTGAAGTTTTGCTAATAGTTAAATAAGGTGCGGTTTTGTTGGTGGTGGTGTTTTCAGTTACTGCTTTTATTCAAGAGTTCATAGGGATCTTGTCCAAGTTGCCTTGCGACTTGGTTCCTGGCACAGCTGAGCAGGAGTGGAGGATAGGCTTGAAAACCCATCTCAAACAAAAGTCCTACTGTCCAAAGGGTTTGGGCAAGGGGTATTTATCCTGTGGCTTTGAGACTTGCACTGTGTTTATGCCTCATGCCAGCCTGGAAAGAAGCACAGTTTGAGAGCAGTCTGCAAAGGCGAACAGATTGAAGAGAAATTACCTTGAAACAATACTGACTGAGTGAGTCAGTTCTAAAATCTAAAGGCTCCAAATCCAAGAGAAGAACCTTGGATATGACACTGGAGTATCTGAGACTCTGGTATAAGGTCTTTTAATTGTTGGATTTGAGGTCTTCAGATCTATCACTGTGACAAAATGCTGTTGTCTGGACTTGGATCTTAGTCCTCAGAGCCAGTGTCCACAGCTTCTGAACAGTCATAAGCATGGTGAGGATCTGAGTAAGACAAAGGCCAATCATCTAAACTTACAAAAGTGCCAGATATGAGGGAAGGGTCTTTTCATGCCTCACCATAGGCAGTCATTTCAGATTATGCATGACCAAAGGAATTAGGCCTTCCTCAGACCTGGAACAGTAGGATCCTTTGCACTAGTAAGGCACTTACCCTTCTTTGGGGCCTCTGCATATGCACAGTGGGATTTGTAGGGTCAGTCCTCAGTCATGAGTCCTCCATTAGTGTCTCCTGCAGAAACATCTTTCTCACAGGATAGTTGATACCTTGGATTTAAGTTCCAAGACCTCTATTTTCAGGAAAATGGAAGGAGTTTATGAGAAGAGTATGATTGTATCTGCAGGGTATAGATCTTCTGATAATGATACTCCTTGGTCTGGCCATCCTACCTGTCTGTCTGCTGCTAGGCAGTTATAGGCTTTGCCTGGGATTGTGGCAATTTGGACTCCAGCTTCTCGTGTTTCATGTTCTTTTTCCAGAGGCTGTTTTAGTAAAAGGGATACAGGATCAGACTGACCATACGTATAAATAATTTTTTCCAAGTGTTCTAGATCATTGGAGGAGTGTTTTCTCTCTCACCATGAAAGGTTCCCAGATTCTGCATTTCTAAGGACTGACTGTTAAGAACAGGTTTCTCAGTCTTCACCATTGTCCTTGGATGATACTCCTCTGGGAGAAATGAAAAAAATGTAGGATCTGGTAGGTTAGGATAGTTCAGTTTCCTGATATTCATCTCATCTAGGGGGAAAGCAAATCACATAAGTGTGTTCAGGCAGAACTGCTTTTCCAGTACATTTAGGGCTTGTAAAGTGAATGAAGGAGCTATGGACTCATCCAGCTGTAGTGCTATGAGTTTCCAGGAAACAGCTTTTGTACCAGATACTTTAAACTACTTTTTAAGCATTCTTCCCTGGTCTCCTTCACAATATTTGTGGCCTCACAAGGATCTAGGCCTTTCAGAGATCTTTTTTATGCTCCTGTGGGCAGGGAATCTTAAGAACTTGGATCAAGTGGTGAAGAAAGCATATTTCTGGATTTCTTTAAGGCCAGCCAACTGTTAGGCTCTTGTGAGCCACTACAATTATGTCTTACGGGTTAAATTTTCTGCATGAGTCGAATGGATGCCTGGGAGGGAAAATATTTGAGCTTTTGTCCACCATCAAAGAAGAGAAGTTGGTGTGATGGTATTACTTTTTAAGAGCCTCA